ACTCACTCACTCACTCACTCACTCACTCACCATCAGCTTCTTCTTCATTTCCGGGAAGCACGAACATCTTCTGGTTTGCCACCGTCAACGACCAAATCAGCATAATCGCCACCAACACCAGCATCCCCGTCGTCGGAGCAACAGTTTTCATAGTAAAGAGAGGTAAGAATATCCCACACATCATCGTAATGTCCGATAGCTCACGGCAGGGAAAAACCAACGCAATATGCGAGTCTTGTAGGATGCGACTACAAGAGTGTCAGCACGCACTGCAAAGCCCGCGCCTTCCTCGCCGGCCCGCGGCAGAGCAAGGTGAATCGCAGAGCCCAAATGACCGTCGGGGAAAGAAGTGAACTTGAGGATGTTTGTCTGGCTCAGAAGGCCCACTTTACTATGCGCAATTTTCGATCTGACTCTGCCAAGCTCTGCAGTCACTTGTTTGAATTTGGGTTTTGGAGTAAGTGTCTTTGGGAAATCTGGTGTCCCCTTTATGCCAACGCGCAGACATGAGAAATACTAACCTAGCAACCTGGAATCCTTCAAGTCCACAGCGCCCATGCCGGAGTTGGACTCGGGGTGAAAGGGTAGGAGCCTGCTTGCGTTCGTTCATGGCTCTGTGTTCATGGCTCTGAAGCTTGGAGGTGATGTTGTATCAGTGATCCCAACCCATCTTCCTGAGGCACCCGGGCCTAGAAAACACTCCAACCTCATTTGAGAAATCTGCCTAACGTAGCACCCAGACGCGTCTTGGCAAAAGGCCAACTTTACTTACTTGCAGGCTGAAAGTTCAAGTCATCCAGCCAGAAGCCACTCCACCCCGATGGGCCCTAAACCCTGGCCTTAACCCTCATCCAGTAACCCCCTGACCGGGCCATACACGCAAGCCTTTTGAGCTCGAAACATGTGAACTGCAAACACCCTAAGGCGTACAGTTCGTTCTTTGGCGCTTCACGGCCTGATCTCCAGAACGCCAGACACCTCAAACCCTGCATCGCAAAGTCCAAAATGCCTGAATCAAACACCGTAAAACACCCTAAAACCCAGGACTGTCGACGTCCAACTCTTCATGCCGAAATGCTCATTGACGAACCCATTGTCTTGGACAAACCTAGACATCACGATGCGGCCTGGAGGGCAGGCGTCTCGGCAGCCACACGCTTTTATGCGCAGGCGCCTCATTGTGCGTTCAGTTTCGTAGACTCTTGTGGCTGCGACGTACAGGTGGTTTCCGGTAGCTCAGGAAGGTGGGGGTATAGTCGGTGCCGCGACGACCGGTTTCGAATGACTACATGTTCAGGCCCCAAACTTAGAGCGCTTCCGCTTGCAAGAGGCTCCAGCAGCGGAACCTGGTGAAGAGACCCGCGCTTTGAGATACTATATTGGTAAATACTGAAGTTGGAGAACTAGGGCATGTCATCAGCATGCACGGATCCCCAACTCCACAGCATGGTTTCTTTGTGCAGTCTTGGTTCACGCAATACTCAACAAACACATGCAGAGTGCACAAGCACAGTCGAATAAAATGCATTCCTACATAAACCTCTGAACGTTCTTCATTTAACGAGACGAGTTGCCATGAGTGCCTCGACCACGGCATGGCCGGCAAGAGGCAGGGGCAAGTGTCAAAAGCAAGATGGACCCCCGACCTCTGTTAGGTTGGGCTTGAGGTTAAGTAAGTAAAGCCTCAGGGTTGGGAGTCTAGCTGGGGTCTATACAGAATCTCACGGCTTCGTGTGGTTCCCTCCTTTTGCAACACTTCTATCGGTAGCAGCTCTGCTCTAAACCGCGGGGAATCGCAGTACACCACAACTTGATCCATCTTTCAATACGCTACGTCATTACGGCTTGGGGTTCTGTAGAATTGTCTCAGACGTAAGGGCCTGTCACCTCGGCTTCCCAATCCTATAAACGCCTTGCAGTGTCCTCGACTGCCCCAGGGTATGCGGTTAGATTTCCAGATGGCTGCCAGTTGCCGGACGTTGGGCACGGAGATAGGTTTACGGAGGGGATTTGGGGTCAATAACTTGGCGGCGCAATGGGGTGATCACGGAGGCACCGGGGAGGGCGGTTCGTTGTCAGGAAATGATCCCCATGTCTGTGCAGGGAGATGAGATGCATGATTCACAAACTCAGAAGCCAAGCGGAAAAGGCGGCTGGCTAGACGTGGGACCTACAAGCAACTGAAGAACTAGATACACAGGCAGGACTTCCTGACTTTCGTGCGTCTCAACATGTGAATGTAGCTAGTGTGCGTGTGTGTGTGTGTGTTGTCAGTGATGTTCTCTCAAGCTGGACTTCACGTCTGTCATCCGGGGCAAAAGAAACCCAGTTGCAGCACGCGCATCCTGCCATCCTACGTCACGGACTGAAGCCCGTGGGCAGTATCCACACTGATACACCGCGCGGCACACAAAGCCCTGAAACAACGGCGCTTTCGATGGAAAAAGCACATCCGAACCTTTTTTTTTCAGCTTGCTGCCTGCATCTACAATGAAGCTCGCCTCCTCCACTCACACGCCGCCTTCAATGGTCTGACTCTTGCAAGCCCTGTCAGCCTCAGTACAGATTCCCCAGGGGCGCCCGGTGTCATCTTCAAAAAGAAACATATTAATCTATTCGCTACCTGCATAGATCTTACTGCAAGATGTCACCAGCCTTCTACGTCATGCTTCTAGTCGCGACAAGCGGGAACACGCATATCAATCACAAAGATGATTCCAGCAGAAGCAGCAGCAATAGTAGCCACAATGAGAATGTATTTGGTGCAGTTCTACTTGTTAAAGCCTTGCCAATACAAATACAGAAACACTGATATATATATATATATATATTATCTATCTACCTACCTACCTACCTACCTACCTACCTATCTATCTATCTATCTAGCTGTCTATCTATCTATCTATCTATCTATCTATCTATCTACAGAACACGTGCGCACATGCATGTCATGTAGTGTAATGTATTATATTGTAATGCAATGTAGCGAAATGATGTACATATATATATATATACTGTAAGGTATGTGTCTGCGCTTACATCTGTATATACCATTATATACCTATATATACACAGATGTTGAATAGTTAACCCATTTGTTTGTTTATGCATATCTGAACACACACACACACACACATACACATACATGCATAGTAAGTGCACACACACAACTGCAGATAAACACACAATGCATATACATTTATGTATGTATGTATGTACTTATGTAGGTATGTACGTATGATTGTACCTATGCATGTGTGTATGCCTGTGGGTGCATGTATGCATGTACTTATGCACATAAGTACTTTTGTAGGTGTGTGTACGTAGGTATACGTCTACATATGAATGTGCGCCAGCAACCATTCTGGATGTCTGCGAGCGCAAGAACCTCAACCGGAGCATACGTGCAAAGCCCTACAACCCGGAAAATCCAAGTCCTAAGCGTCTGACTAGCTCCAGCCTTGGAGTGACTTAATATGCAGGCCTGCCCTCGAGGCATCCAAGATAAATTTAGTGCTTAGAATGTCGTACTTCCGAAAATGATGATTTCCTGCTTCGTCTGAAGACATGCACGTCCGGACGCACAGAGAGACACGCAAACACAACACGCCATACCACCTGCCCCTACGTAGTGCTGCGGTCACGCAGGTGGAACTGCAAATGAACTTTGTCTTTTGTAAGTGCGCTGAAGCATGAACAACTACGCATGTGTCTGTATATGCATACAAACACACACACACACACACGCACACATGCGTGTGTGCGCATATACATACACATATATGTTTTCGTTTGCATACCTGCTAACAAAAATGCATACATGTGTGTAGAGAAGCAGACACATTCGAACAACAAATATGCCCTTTGTGGAATATAGTGCTTTTGTAGTTTTCGGCTTTCAGAGCTGTCACTCATGCTCGAGCAGCGATTCACTGACTCCTTGCGCGTAACCCAAGCCACGCCATGGTTGCACCGAATTCTCTATCCCTGTAAAATACCGAGCCAGCAACGCTCCCTCAATTCAAACCTAAATCCCGAATCCCTAAACCGGCTGAGCACCTGTCGATACAAATATATACAAATGCTGCTACATCACAGTCTCCGCCAAGGCTTCTGCCAGTATCTGTAAGAGCTGGGACCGCCTGGCGTCTGGCGTCGGGTTCGTAGGGATTCCGGCTGATGGGATATGGGCCAGGGGAAAGCCTAGATGTGCACGGCGGGGACTTAGGATTTTCTGACTTCAGGTTTCGGCTGAGTTGCATTGTAGATAATTTTCTCGGTGTTTGCACTGGGAGTAGCCAGCTGACGAAAGCGACGGGCTAGGTTGTGCTAGCCCCGAGAAAGAACCAGGAGTCTAGGAGGTTGGGGCTGGGGAAGGGGATCCTTTTTCATCTCAGCAGTCCCAATACTTCCGGTGCATATGTAGGGCGTATGATTTCGATTTGGTCCCACCACAGAAACGGACAGCTGATGTCGTAGTTTAGCTCTGGGGTTAGGTGCATGAGTTTTGAACCCAAACTCAACATCCCAGACCAGCGACTGCAAAGGTCTACTTCAAAAGCGGCCCCCCACGCACCCCAAGCTCTAAGAGCTGTCAGAACTGAAATCCCTGCCCTACTCGACAATTCAGAGCCAACCATACCCCAGGAGCATGCAAACTCAAAGAACGTGCCTAAAATCCTAAACAAGTTGAGCAGTAATTTTTATTGGGGGGCACATCTAAATAATCCGTTTTTGTTCGCGGAGCGAAACCCCACATGCAGCTGTTACATGCAGTCCTCCCAGAAGTTGGAAACGTATACCGCAAGGCAACAACCAACCCTGAACCTTGAAGATATCAGAAGCAAGCCAAGGGTGCTCTTCAGTAGTCGCAGCACGCCGCCACCTCGAGCAATTACGCGAGGGTCCAACGGAGGCACATGGTGAACCGCTGTTGGTAGCATAAGGCCAGTGGAAGCCAGTCCATATCATATCAGTGTGTTCTAGGGCCTCAAACGACACCTTGACAAAAGCACCCGCGAACAGAACATCCCAAACCATCAAGTCTAGATCCTGAAAGCCAAACCCTCAGGCCCTCATCTTGACTCGATGATCCTTACTAATCGCTATAGATCCTGAGGGCCGATGCCTTAAATCGACAACCCCCAACTGTACTCTTCGGATCTTAAACCCTGCAAAACATCTAAACCCTAAGCTAGCTTTTTGACCACCTGCATTAAGACAAGAGTCTTGCTACGAAACATTGTATGAATGTATATCCAACAGGAGGATCTTAAACTGACAGTTTAGGTACACCGCAACATGGCTGAGCTTCAGATGATACAGGACCCAACAAGTATAGAGACCTTGAACAGCGAATGGCAGGATCCTCCTTATTATAAGGACCTTCCAAACAGCAGACCCCTAATTCCACAAGCTCCAAAATGGCTGAGCTTCAAGCTCATCTTCAGAAAGCACGGCCACCTTGCAGCCTCGCGCTGCAAGGGCTCGAGATGCCTCGGGTTGCAGGGCGAAGCTCAGGGAACAACGATAGGGTGGGAGTTGGAAATCCGTCTGCATAGTATCTTCGCATTCGTGTTCTGACTAATTACGGGTCGCACTGCTCCTTGTGGCGAAGTGAAGAAGACCAGCACAACCTTGACAAACGCCGGTATCTAGACAAACGCCGGCATCAAGACTGAGAAAGAGTAGGTGCCAGTCACATGTCTACTGATCTGGCAACAGCATGCATCAGTACTGTAAATACTCACCATGTAATGACGGGGATTTGCGCCAAGGAAGTGCAGCCAACCCCATACGAGGTTCGTGAGCGGAAGCTTCAACATGTTAAAAGCATCAGCTTAAGGTTCTTGGCTGCCTTCTGCTATCATCCCGAAACATCGGTTTCCTCTCGAGCTAAGGGCATCAGTGACTTTGAAGGGGGAGCGGATTTGAAAATTAAGATGACAGGAGAGGGCTTTCAGCGCGTGCCATCGCCATCCTCGCCTGTCCCGGTCATGAGCCGGCTGCCAACAGGTCGATTTGCCAGCAGTAATGCAAAACATAACAACAGCATCATCATCACCATGATCATCATAATCATCATCATCGTCGTCGCAATCATCACAATCATCAAAATCATCAGCATCAACGTCATCATCATCATCATCATCATCATCATCATCATCATAGTCATCAACATCATCAACGTCATAATGATTATCATCATCTCGCCACCACCATCATCATCATGAACCTCATCAACACCACCATCATCATCATGTTCATCATCATCACCACCACCATCATCATCATCATCACCGACAACATATTCATCGTCATCATCGTCATCATCAACATTCTCACCATCATATTCACAATCACCATCCTTTCCATCATCACCACCAGCATTCGTCAACATCATCATCACCACCAACATCACCACCGTCATCATCGTCACAATCACCACCACCGCCGCAACCACCACCGATGATGATGATGATCATCATCATCATCACCATCATCAACAACAACCTCACCATCACCACCGCCATCACCATCATCCTCCCCACTTCTTGTCACGTCAAGAGGCGTCACC